TATAGTACTATAAGTGCTAGCCATAGCGATCAGACATGAAGGAGAAAGAAAAGGCATCCAAATTGGAAAAGAAGAAGTAAAACTGTCCTTATTCCCAGATGACATGTTACTATACAGTGAAAACCCCAAAGACTCCATCAAAACACTACTACACCTGATAAATTAATTCAGCAATGTAGCAGGATACAAATTAACACCCAGAAATCTATGGCCTTTTTATACACCAATAATGAACTCACAGAAAGAAAACAAAAAACAATTCCATTTACCATTGCACCAAAAAAAAAAAAATTAAGATACCTAGGAATAAACTTAACTAAGGAGGTAAAAGACCTGTACTCAGAAAACTAAAGGACATTGAAAAAGGAGAGAGAGGAAGACATAAAACAAATGGAACAACATACCATGTCCATGGATTGGTAGAATCAACATCATTAAAATGTCCATACTACCCAAAGCAATCTACAGATTCAATGCAATCCCCATTAAAATATGAATGTCTTATTCCAAAGATCTAGAACAAACTCTCCAAAAATTCATCTGGAATAATAAAAAAAAGACCCTGAATAGCCATAGGCAATCTTGAGAAAGAAGAACAAAGTTGGAGGGATCAGAATACCAGATATCAAGCTGTATTACCAAACTACAGTTCTCAAAACTGCCGGGTACTGGCACAAGAATGGACATATAGACCAATGGAACAGAACAGAGAACCCAGAAATCCACCCAAGCTATTATGCTCAATTAATATTTGACAAAGGAGGCAAGAGCATACAATGGAGTCAAGACAGTCTCTTCAATAAATGGTGCTGGAAAATTTGTCAGATACATGCAAAAAATGAAACTAGATCACCAACTTACACCATACACAAAAACAAACTCAAAATGGCTAAAGAACTTAAATGTAAGATGGGAAACCATAAAAATCCTACAAGACTACATAGGCAGCAAACTAGTAGACATATGTCATAGCAATATCTTTACCAACACAGCTCCTAAGGCAATGGAGACTAAGGAGAAAATAAACACATGGGACTACATAAAAATAAAAGCTTCTGCACAGCAAAAGAAACCATCAACAAAACAACAAGAAATCCCACGGCATGGGAGAACATATTTACCAATGCTATTTCAGATAAGGGTTTAATCTCCAAAATTTACAGAGAACTCATATAACTTAGCAAAAGTAAGATAAACAACCCAGTCAAAAAATGGGCAAAGGATCTAAGTAGACACTTCTTTAAGGAGGACATACAGAAGGCCCAGAGACATATAAAAACATTTGCAAAGTCACAAATCATCTGAGAGATGCAAATCAAAACAACAAAGAGATACCATCTCACACCTGTCAAAATGGCTATCATCAAAAAATCTACAGACAATAAGTGCTGGCGAGGATGTGGGGAACAAGGAACCCTCGTACACTGCTGGTGGGAATGCAGACTGGTGCAGCCACTGTGGAAGACAGTATGGAGTTTGCTCAAAGAGTTAAAAGCGGAACTCTCATTTGACCCAGTGATTCCACTTCTAGGACTATATCCCAAGAAACCAGAAACACCAATCAGAAAGGATATGTGCACCCCTATGTTCAGAGCAGCACAGTTTACAATAGCTAAGATCTGGAAAAAGCCTAAGTGCCCATCAGCAGATGAGTGGATTAGAAAACTGTGGTACATCTACACAATGGAATACTATGCTGCTGTAAAAAAGAAGGAACTCTTACCATTTGCATCAACATGGATGGAGCTGGAGAGCATTATGCTAAGTGAAATAAGTCAGTCAGAGAAAGATAAATATCACATGATCTCACTCATATGTGGGATATAATGATCAACATAATTTGATGAACAAAAATAGATCCAGAGACAAATGGCAAGGAGATGGGGGGATAGAGAGCAACCAAAGGACTTGTATGCATGCATATTAGCATAACCAATGGACACAGACATTGGGGCGGTGGGGGCTTGGCCAGGGTGGGAATGGCTTGGGCGGGGGGAGTCAATCAGAAAAAAAGGAGACACATGTAAAACTTTAGACAATAAAAAAATAAATTGCATTGCATTGAAATAATAATAATGCCTGGACTGGAACCTCATATATGTATAAAACATAAACATCTTATTTGTCTTGCTTACATCACAGGCAGCATCTATGCAAGCTGCTCCGCAGCTCAATTCTCAATGCATCGTGGGTCCTGGGGACCTTTCCCTCTCGGCATGGAGAGCACGTCTGTGTTTCCTCCCACAGGGCAGCCTCCACTGCACAGGAGCCCCCATGGGTGGCATCTGAACTGTCTCTGACTATTGTTATTATAACTGATACTCCAAGAAATGACTTTGTGCCCTGGCTGGTTTGGCTCAGTGGATAGGGCACTGCCTATGGACTGAAGGGTCCCAGTGTGTGGAGTGCAGGTGGCAGCTGATGATTCCCTCACATCATTGATGTTCCTCTCTTTCTCTCCCTCTCTGAAATCAATAAAAATATATTTTTTTAAAAAGAAATAACTTTGTCCATCAGTTATTTCACACAACCCCACGCTGATCTTTCAGATAAATTTCTAGAACTGGGATTTTGGGTCAATATATAAGTAGTTTGAACTAAGATTTTTCTATTGACCCCCAATATAAGGTGTGTCAATTTATACAAAATTATAGAACACATCTAAGAGTGTCTGTCTCCCCACAGTCCTGCCATCAATGTTTCCAACTACATGGTTTGTTTGCTGCCCATCTCACAGGTGGGAACGTCTCCCTGCTCAGTGAGACTGGACATCCTTCCCCGAGGTATTTCCTTCTGGGAACCATTCATTTCTGTACGGAGCTGTTTCATGTTTTGAGGAGCTCAGCCCTTTCTCCAGGACGTGTCTGCACATACTTTCCCCACTTTGTCATGTGTTTGCTGACATTTACCATTTGCCCATCCCCATCGTCTGTCCCAGGTGGAGGCAGCAGGGATGCTCAGAAAATGTCTGTGACATCAACAGCTTCAAGGGGCAAAGGGCACCCAGGTCCCTGCTCTGAGCCTTATGTTCACTGCACAGACCCAGGTCAGCAGCAGACACTCAGGCCTCCATCTCCCAGTGGACACAGCTGAGCTCAGTGTGGGGCCAGGCATTCACCTGCAATGGAGACCCTGGCTGTCTTCTCCTGGCTGAGCAGGGGGTTTCTGATGACACAGGAGACCCCCTTCCCAGAGCTGCCTTTCAGGATCACAGACGACGTGGCTGTGTACAGACCCTCTCCATCTGCAGCCCCAGGCACTGCCATGGCGGGCAAGCTCTCTCCCCCTTCACCTCTCCACTCTACGTGGGGCTGTGGATACCAGCCTGCAGACATGCACTCCACACGGATCCCTCCATCCTCATAGCCCTTCATTTCAATGTGAAGATCAGAGCCCTGGGCTGGGGAAGGAAGAGTGAGCCTGAGTCATGGGGAGGCCTCTGTGTTGGTGAGGGTCCATCAGGAACGGGGGCTCACTCCACTAGATCACACAGGCAGGGTTCACTGAGGAGCTGTTTGCCACGTGTGCTGTGCAGGGGAGACTGTTCCATGAGGTGACCACTGCCTGACCCTTGTGGACCCTCGAACTAGATCCAGCTGGATCTGGGCCAGAACAGAAACTGCTTCCATGTATTGCCTCAGAGACTCCTGGGCCCTCCCCCTGCCCAGTGCTGGTTCCTGGAACTGGCCCTCACCCACCCTAAGCTTGTAACTCATTCCCCTTATCTGGGCAGGTCATGCCCCAGTCCCCTATCTATCCTGCCTGTCCTGTGTGAGCTTTAGGCTTTGCCAGCTGGTGGGGAGGATATGCACGTTCTATTGTTGCAGCCCATGCTGTTCCTGGTATGAGAGTCACCGTGGTGAACTCTTGATATCATTAATCTAGAGTTTACAGCCTCTTTTTCGGGTCTTTGGACTCAGGGGAATTTTTATTTTGTGGTTGTGGAAGGGGAAAGACTACATGGGAGAGAGCTGACCCAGGGCCAGGAGCAGTGAGTTGTCACCACCAGTCTCTAAACTCTTAACCCAAGGGGGTCAGGGAGTTGGAGGAAGCCTTTTGAAGACTTGGAAGAACCCAGTCCTGTCGGGAGGGATTTCTTAAGAGGAGCTGTGGTCTCAGGAAGGGATGTAGCTGAGGAGGCCCTGCAGGGAGAAAGCCAGGACCTCCAACCCCCACCTTCCTTCCTTCCTGTGCAAGGCAGGGTTGTGCCCCGAGAAAGAGAAATGATGTTGGACATGAACAATGTCATGGAACAGCAGCATCAGACAAGGATGCGTTGTCCCTGTGATGGGTCAGGACAAATCAAGACCACTCAGTCATCATATCTGAACACAGAATAACACATGAACAGTGTGCAGATCACAGCAGTGAGCAATCATCCCCTGGCCTATGTGTGAGTGATCAGTTATCCCCACACCCTCCTGACAGCATCTGGTTTAGAGCAAAGCCCTCCTTCCATAAACCTTCTCCTAGTCCTCTGTCAGCCCAAAGTTACACCAAGTCTCCCTGACACACCCTCTTAGGGACACCCCATGTTTCCACACTGTGTGTTCTTCTCACTGCAACTAGTACTAAAGTCAACTTGTTCTACTGCAGGAGTGATCCTGGGGTCTTGGTTGGAGGACATGGCTGCACAGGTGATGTCTCTGAAGCTCAGCCTCCCTGGACCCACAGCAGCGAGCACCTGGGGGGCCCAGGTCCACTGCCTGGAACACACCTGAACCCACTCAACTGTGTGCCCCCCACTGAGGGGGGTTTTCTCAGCCTTCCTGCCCTGACCCCACATCCCTGCTGAGACCCTGGTGGCTGCAGGAGGGACGTCTTCACTTGGTTCAGGAGGAGCCCTTCCTGCAGGAAAACCTGTCTGTCAAGGGCCCAGAGAAGCAGAGGTGGAGGAGGGAGGCAGCTGCTGGGGTGTAGGCAGAGGTCTGTGGGGTGGGCTTGGAGCCTGTGTCCCCAGGTCCCACAGAAGAAGGAGCTCAAAACAGCTTCAGGCTCACCTGCAACCTTCAGCACCACCTGGGCTTTTGCAAGGAAATCGCCATCTTGGAAATAACACTGGTAGATTCCACTGTCAGAGACTTTGACCTTGTGAATCCGCAGAGCAGCCTTCCCCTCAGCGATGTCCCCTCTTAAAATCGACGTTCTCCCTCGATACTCTGCTATCTCTATTTCTTCCATGCCGTGTGCATATGTACGTACCACCAGCCTGAGGCCGGGTCGCACCCACATCAGGTCCATGGTCTCAGCACTCATCTTAGGGGTCAGGTGACAGGGCAGCTCAGCGACTTCACCCACCATGGCCAGGATGGGATGAGGGGGTCCAACCACAGCAAACTGAGCTGGTGAGCAGAAAGGGGTGCTCCATCAGAGAGAGCTGGAGGCTAGAGGGTAAGGCGGCGTCCCAGGGTAAGAAACACCTAGAGAGGGACTCAGTTCTGACAGGTTTACAGTGTGGATGGGCCTCCCAGGTGTGGTAAGGACTCCAAGGTTCTGACTGGGCATTACAGGTAACTGCTACAGGTACATAAATGCAGATGGTCCTTACCTGAGCAGGGTGTGTGCAGGTGGACCAAGGGGAGGCAGACAGGGAGGAGGAGCAGATGGAAGACCAGTGACCTCACCATTGTGGGCTGTTGTGTAGACAGAGAGACACCAGAAGGAGTTGGTAGAAATGACGACCTGGAGGAAGATGGAGAATCCACATGAGACCTCTGCCTCCCCAGGGCTGACTCCCGGTGCAGCCACCATCACTGGTAACCCCAGAGCCTCCTCTGAAATGTCTGCTTGGGAGTCTCTTCACCTTTGACTCGAACATGGAAAACCACCCTCAAGTCTGTAACCTGAAGTGTCCGTCCCTTGGCCCTGGCCACCTGGGAGTCCTGGGCTCTGTGGCCAATGGGCTCACAAGCTTCCATTTGCCTACACTTCCTGGACAGCCTGTCTGCACCTCCAGCATCTCACTCTGATTAAGACAGTACCCCCCTCTCTGAGTCCCTGTTCCACTGGGGTCCCTCAGTCTCTGCTCCACACCACAGCCCGAATACTCCGGCCTCCCTCACTTCATGCGCTCCTCAGCCTCCAGGGGCTCCCCCTGCACTCAGAGCAGGAGCTGGAGTCCTCTGCTCCCTGCACTTTCTAAGTTATCTGAATGTTTGAAATTTTAAGATTTCAGAGAGAGGAATATATTTCCACTTATTTTGGGGGATAGTTATTGTTTTTATTCTTGATTATAAACAACTAGTATTTCAAAATAAAAATAAGTAAAATTTAAATAATTTATAATGGCAACCACATACTTTGTTTCATATGAATATAAATAGTTCTGGACAATTTTGGAATATATATATATTATATATATATATGCCTTAAAATGTTTTATTCTTTAACCTGTTGCAGAATTACTCCTAAAAAAATATCAGGCACTAAAAAAAGTTTTATATTTAATGCTGTTCATCATAGTAAAATCTACAATACCAAAATGTAGGTACAATTTGAAATCCCGAATTGGATCCAATTTTGTAATAATAACAAAATTTAATTAAAAACATGATTCCTAAACCTGCAGCTATGATCATACTCAATGGTGAAAAGCTGAAAAGTTATTCTCTAATCACTAAGGTCAAGAAGAAGACAAGGACGCCCACTCTCACCACTTGTGCTCTCACTGGCCACAGCAGTCAGACAAGACAAAGGAATAGAAAGCATACAAATCAGAAAGGAAGAAGTAGAATTCTCACTATTTGCAAAGAGTATGATACAATATATATAAAACCTGAGGATTCCACCAAAAAAACCACCAGAACCAATCAATGATTCAGTAACGTTGCAGGACAGAAAATCAGCAACCTGTTGCATTTCTATACAGCAATAATGAATAATCAGGAGGAGAAAATTTAAAAATTTCATTTATAAGTTTACCCACAAAGTATAAAATATCCAGGAATAAATTTAACCAAAGAAATGAAAGACCTATAGACTGAAAACTATAAGACACTGAAGAAAGAAATTTAAGAGGATACAAATAAATAGAATGATAGGCTATACCATGCTCATGGGTTGGAAGGATTAACATTGTTAAAATGTGCTTACTGACTAAAGCAATATCCACATTCAATACAATCCCTATTAAAACACCAATGGCCTTCTTCTCAGAGATAGAACAACTCATCCTAAACTTATATGGAACCACAAAGATCCCTAATGTCCAAAGAAGTCTTAACAAAGAACAAAGTTGGAAGCATCCTACTCCCTGATATCAAACTATACAAAAGTGTCCACACTAATAAACAGCATGGTACTGGCATATAAACAGACACCCAGTTCAATGGGACAGGCAGAGAGCCCAGAAAGAACCCTCACTTATATGGTCAATTAATCTGTGACAAAGGAGGCAAGAATATGCAGTGGGGTAAAGACAGTCCTTTCAAAATGGTGCTGGTAAAACCGGATAGATGCAAAAAAAATGTAATTGGCTCACTTTCTTACACCAAATTAAGAATAAACACAATATGGATTAAATATTCAATGTGAGACCCAAAACTATAAAACTAGAAGAAAACAGAAGAAGTGAACATCTGACATTCCTCTTAGTAATATATGTTTTCGATATGTGTGTCCTCAGGCAAGGGCATGAAAATATACAATAAACAAATGGGACCAAATGACACAAAAGGACAACCTACTGAAGGGAAGAATATATTAGCCAAGGATATATTCAATAAGGAGTTAATATCCAAAATTTATTTTTAAAAAATCATACAATTTAACAGCAAAAAAACCTGAATAGACATTTACCTACAGAGCAGGTACAGATGGCCAACTGACATATGGATTGGAAACCCTCTACTGTCAGACAACGTGATGTTTATCCATTCTTCAATTGTTGTATACGTATGCTGTCTCATATATTTTTATATTACAGCTAGAGGCCCAATGCACGAAATTCATGCAAGAGGCTCGGCACTCGCAGCCCAGGCTTCATCTGGAAGGTCGTCCGGAAGGTCGTTTGGCCATCTGATCTAATTAGCACATTATTATTCTAGAGTACATATAATTCTGTAGTGAACATCTTTTCATATAAATCTTTAAGCCACACATCTTATAACCTACACCACCATTATTTTAACATTATTTCTGTAAACGTGACCACACATAAACAGCCTGTTCGCTTAAGAATTCTAGGAACTAACTTCAGGAAAAGCAGACTCCAACCTCCAGACATTCCATCTCCGGAAGATTTGCTGACCTTCAACCAGTAATCTGCACAGACTGTGTTGGCTGGCACTTAGTCCCCTCAATGGAGAACCCTCAACCCCCTCCTTTTTATTCCTTTACTAATAGCCCTGCACACGAATCCCTGCACGAGTAGCTCGCTGGGGCTTGCCTCAGCTGGCCACCTGCCCACTGCTGCTGGTAGCTCTCCCACCCCTTGGAGCTCTCTGCCTGCTGCCCCACCCTCCTGTAGCTCTCCACCACTTGTAGATTGGTCCTGACATTATGGCGTATGGATAATTAGCATATTCCTCTCTTACTGTATAGGATTATTCTTCCCCCCTCTCCTCTTCCTTACAAAATTGCCTGCCCGTGTCCAATTGTCTTTGCAGCATGAGTCTACATCTTCTGAAGCTGCAAGCTCTAGAATAAACCTACATTCCTCCCACCAGTCCCATTATCTCCATTTGGTCTTTCCACTGGCAGGCAGTTGAACCTGGGTTCTGCCTTTTAGAATCTCTTAGAACACATCCCAGAGAGGAGCAGGAGAGCCTGTCAGAGGCCTTAATGTCCACAGTAAGTTCTTGGGAACATGCAGTTGTCAAGCTCACTCATTCCGGTTGTCTCCCTCCCACAGATTTTTGAGTTCAGGCCTTACCTTGCCTGCCAACGAGGTCTCACCATGTCCTCACCTGCAGGCTCACCCAGCTTCTCAGCCTCTCTCCTAAAGAGACCTGGGCCCTGGCTTTTACCAACTCCCCCCACTTACAGTTGGCACTTTCAGCTGAAAACCACAGAACAACGGCACTCCTTAGGTCTTCATTGCAGTTGAGTCTCTGATCTGGAGGGAAGGGTGGGAAAAGAAAGCTTGCTCAGGAGGAGGAAAAGTGCAAAGTCCCTCTTTGAAAGCACTTGTTACAAAAAGCATGAAAATAACCTTTACTTTGCTCTGGGTGTGTCATCGGTGGGGTGCTCTACAAGCCTCCACCTGTTGCTGGTGGGAGTGGGTTCTTGGGGTGCCACGGGAACAAAAATGTCCTGAGGCCCCACAGGAGGATGAGGTGCTGGGGAAGCTTTATTTCTGTGGAATCAAACCCCTGAGTTTCTAAGGTCCCATCTCCCTCTGTCCTGCCATGAAAAGTCCCATTTTGTCTTCAGCAGAACCAGGATTCAAGCCATTCCTACAGTTTCTGCTCCATATTTGCACAGTCCCGTCCAGTCCAGCATCTGGCAGCCTAGCAGGGGTCACTAGCAAGGAAGAAACAGGAGAGCAAGCAAGAGCAACAGAGAGAGAGAGTTCTCAGCCTGGTGACTGTATTCCCAAATGTTGATGGGATTACATTGAGGTCCACCCTTTTAGCCAATGATCTCTGTTCCCAGGTTAGACTGACAGGAAGCCCCATTTCCTCCATCACCCGTCTTCACTGCACATGTGCCATCTCCCCTCTGTGGAGCCCTCCCCAGTGACTTCCAGGGAATAGACTGGCTCCCTGGGGAGTGTCAAGTTGCAGCTTCCTGGTGAGGCTGCCCAGATGACCTTGCTTATTATGTCTGGCCTCCCCTTTGCTCCTTCCCTATTATTAATATGAATGACCAGCTACTTATGAGGATAACAGGTGTGTGTGTATTACACAGGATTCTATTGCAATCATGCCTCAAAAAAAACACACTGAACGTCTCAGGAGATTTTATCAACATTTATTTTCTCCTTCGTGAGTCTACAGGGGGACAGGGCAGCTGGTCCGGGTGGGCTTGCCTGGGCCTGGCTAACTGGGTTGGAGTCAGGGCTGCAGGTTGGGTTCCTGTCAGTTCCAGAGGTCTCTCCATTCTGGGACCAGGAGCTACAGGACACGTTCTTCATTTCCTCCTCTTCTCCTCCTCCAACTCCCCATCCCAGTATCTCTCCTCCAACTCCCCATCCCAGTATCTCTCCTCCCTTTTCAGATTCCTGTCCCCCTCCCTCCTCCTCCTCATCCTGCCTCTTCCTCTAACTTCTCCGGTGATGATCTTTAGACCTCTCTGCCCCTAGTGGCCGCAGCGCATCACTGCACCCCGTGCAGCTGGGACAGGAGCCCACCTCTCCCTCCACCAGGTCCCCCGCTAAATTCCCATATCTTTAATCTAAACCTTCTTTGTTTTTTATTTTAAAATGGTGATCCACAGTAAGAAATACATCTTATAATGTAACTGAGGACAGACATTTATATACACTGTATGCTCTCATAGTTCCATTCGTATTTAAATTTGGTCGCTACGTAATACATTGATTTCATGCACCATTAATGGCCCAGGACCTGCAGGTGGAGAACTGCTCCATGACGGTTGTCTTATGGCAGAAACATTAGGCCCCACGTCCTGTGGGCTCTGCTTTTGTTGTCCACAGACAGGACTTGGGCCCTCAAACATTTACCTTCCTGTTATAGGATTTGGCATGGATTGTGAAATAAATTTGGAAGAGAAAGATGTAC